CTTATTAAGGAAAATAGTACCTATTATTAATTTTGTTTGTTTTTCTACAAAATAAACTATACTATTTAGAAAAAAATTTATTTCTCTTATAATTTTATAAAAAATAACAGGGGAATATTTACATTTCTTGATCTATTAAACAAAACGATAAATTATCTCGACGAATGACACCATGTTCTAGTACGGAAGCTAGCTTTACATTTTTGTTGGTGGTTTCATGGGTTTCATATCAATTTTTTGTAATTGTAGTTTACACTTACATATACCTCTTAACACTTGTTTGCTTTATTAAAAAAGTGTGTTGTTGTGAATTACGTCGAAATAAGTCAAAAACAACTTGAAACCCCATATAAAATCAAAAAGGAGAAACGGAAAAAAATTGAGCCTGTAAATGAACACAACTCAGAAACAAAAATAGCTATCTAATAATAAAAAAATAAAATTTGATTCTTGTGCAGCTTCATCTATATCATTAACTGTTTTTGGTTTTTTAATGGTTTTTCTTGGTGATGAAAATTCCGATATCTCACGGTTATCGATTCTTTTTTTCTCTCCAGAAATGCGGACGACAGTGTTTTTAGATACTCCTGTGGCTGCAGCAACACGATCATTTACATTTTTAAATGGTATTGAAGGTGAATTAAAGTTTCCTTCTCTTCTCATAAACTCTATAACATTGGCTATTATTTCGCGAGATTGACTGTTAATCACGCGGCCTCTTAATTTGCTATTAAACTCCATACTTAGGTTCTATTAAACTGTAATGAGCAAAAAACACAAACGAAAATAAAAGAAATGTTTTAGCGAAATTTACATCTGACATTTACGTCTGAATGAAATAGTGAAATACTTGATGCGCAGAGTGTACTTTCATTGCGTAAATCCGTCGGGATGCCTGTCAGTAGTGCTTTCTCTGTCTAGCCGTCGAAAGCCTCTAGAAATTTGATGAACTGTAGATCCGTTGCCCCAAAAATGTTATTGCTTTTTAAAAATCTGCATCTCTAAAAATACAACTCTGTGAGACGTTAATATTAAGTCATACCAATTATGCTGATTTTGTTTATGGGCCATGTTTAGATGTAGACTCGTCGGCGAGGCTACAGAGAATTCAAAACTCGTACGTTAGGCTCATTTTTACATTAACATCTAGAGATCATGTTTCAAACAAATTGAAAGAATTGGGGTGGCTTAATATGTTTAATAGAAGAAAACTTCATATGGCTTCCTTTGTACACAAACTGCTGAGAAATCATAATCCAGCATACCTTAGGAAACAATTAACATTTAGCTCGAATGTTCATAACCGAAATAGTAGAAATACTAGCCTTATACCTAAACATAAAACAACTCTCTACAAGACATCTTTCTCATACAATGCAGTCACTATACATAACTCTCTACCTGATCAATGTAAAAATAAATCTCTAGAAATCTTTAAAAAATTACTGAAAAAATGTCTTTTGTTTTAAAGTTTGTGTTTATGTATTGTTAATTTTCTTATTGCATGTATCTATATAAACTGTATATTAAATAATTTAAATCTAAATAACAATGTATTATATGAAATGTTTGTATTTGATAATTAGTTGAGTGGAACAGCTATGCTGGACTCCGCCGAGGCTTATTAAAATAAAGACGTTTATTATTATTATTATTATTATTATTATTATTATTATTTATATAAAGCCCAACTTTATGCGAGAATACTCTCGGGTTTCCACAAGAATCGAGAACTGGCTCTCTATGAATCATATGCCGCAAAGGGATCACTCCGCTAGTTTCTCGAAGCGTCACTGGCATACCTAGAAGATTTCGGGGTTTAGACCCTCCATTGTTTCGACCATGGGGTCGATTCTCGACTCGTAGGAATATTTTCCTATAGGAATTTTTGACATTTTTATATACATCGAAAATTTATGACATTTTCCTACATATAGGAAAGTGTCACAAATTCCTATAGGAAAAGGTTCCTACAAGTCGAGAATCGACCCCCATGAGTCGGGTGGCAGACTTCAAGGTCGCGCTCTACAGAGACGGCTTATACATTCCCATGAAAATAATTCAAAAATTATTAATTGGTATATTTTTTTTATTTATCAGTATAATTTTACTAAATTCAGTAAGCATTTTTGATATCATAAGATACACCTTTCAGCGAAACAATCAGTTAATAAATTCTACCAGTGGCATACGGCATGGATAAGTAACATTTTCATCCCCTCTAAATTTTACGCACCTGTCCAAAAACTTATTTGGGCTTTAATTTTCTTCTTCTTTTCTTTGTTTTTCTTCTTCTTCTTTCTTTTCTTTCTTTCTTCTTTTTTTTTCTCTTTTTTTTTTGAGGTGCCAGTTTGGATGTAATTGAGAGTTGCGCGTAGTTATCGTGGATGTAACATATCTCTATCTTTGTTGGTCATGGCCTACTTTAGTAACGTTTTTTTTTTTGTGGATCACTCTTTATAATTTTTCATTTTTTATATTTTAATTTTTTCGCATTTTTTCTTATATTTTCTTGCATCTATTTATGAACCTTCTTGTAATAAACATTTTTATTTATTTATATTATTACATTCTTTATTTATTTTTCAGGAATCACACAAATACAAAAATAATTTTTATCACCCTGGTTTTTCACACTGTGGATGCGACGACTGCGACAGATCTTTGGAATGTGGCTACGACCCTTGTGACGATCATTGTGGCCCGCACCACGGCTTTCATCATCACGGCTTACATCACCACGGTGGTCATTGCCACAGCCCATGTTACGGTCCTCCTCCATGTGCAACGGTCCATGTATCTCCAGTAGTTGGATTACTCACCAAAATTAAGGCCAGCATATTGGCTAAAAAGTGCGATCATGACTGCGACAGTTGTGGAGGACATTGCGGTTGCGGTCATGGACATCATGGACATCATGGACACTGTGGATGCAACCATGGAAAGCATTGCAAGTGGTTACACAGCCCATTCTTGTGGAAAAAAATTAACAAAATTAGCAAATACTGCTGAATATACTGAGTTAAAGACGCGAATATAATGGTATTAAACTAATTTTATCTTTAACATAATAGTTTTATTTAACCCACATTATTGAATTACATTAACGAATAGGTGAAGGCCACATTACATAGAAGAAAAAGAAGAACAATGGATTTTGACGGTAACATTCAACGTTGCCGGTCTTCGATTAAATACTTACAGTTTATTAAAAACAAGTAAGTCAAGAATTTGACTCAAATGTGGTCTCATTTTAAAGGAAAGAAATAATTAGTGTGGTTTTCTAGCATGCAAGCACTTATTCTTTTATCCGGATGATCACATACAAATCATATAATATGAAGTGATAAGTAAAATCCACATTAAAAGTGTGAAGAGTGAAATTTTTCACAAGTGAAAAATATTGTCGCACGAGGTAAAAGTCGAGTGCGAAAATCACACGAGTGTGAAAAATCACTTTTACATAAATGATGTATAATATTTTTCCTACAACTACAAAATAAGTTCAAAGAAAAATAGAAAATCAGGAATTCTGGCTATGGAGGATCAATCAAGATATGTGGCAGATTCTAGATTTATTTATATATGCTTTATTAAATAATTTTTTAGGTGTTTTGCGGAAGGCATTTTTTAGAAATTAAAAATATTGTGATTTCATTTAAAAACAGTTTCATATAGGATGGTAAAGGTATAGTAAATATGTATAAAAAATATTAGTCCTAAGAAAAAGTGTTTCCAAAGTAGACCTAGGACAAATTCATGTATGCCAGAGAGTATAGTTATTCTTTTTTAAGTGTCAGTTTTGATTTATTTTAAAACTGTGCATTGTTATCCCCCATATGGCTCGCATCTTGTATTATTTATCGGTCATGGCTTAATTTAGAAACATTCTTTGTGGATCACTCTTTATAACGAACATAAGTAAAATATGGAGCAGAAATTATAAACAAATAGAGGTTTGTTTTGGTTCTTCAAAAATATGTTGTCCTAGCTGGAGAGTTGACCAGCGTGTAACGTTACATTTCAGTGATCGAGAATCGATATAGAATGAAGTAGAGACGACATATAAATACTATTCTACACTATGACAGATGGACGCACTTCGAGTGACGGAAAAGTACTTTGATTAATTTAAAGTCAATTATTTTATATATTAAGATTGACGGAATGAAAATGTTTTTATACTATTTAAATAAAGCTTTTAAAAAAATGGCATTTATTTTCATCAAAACTCACTTGCTCTACTATAGCCATAGATACTATAGCTCGAGTTTGACATATGACAAAGTGTAATGCAAAGTGTGGACACTTTTATGCCGTTTTCCATTGGCATTGCTAGTATGCACTGAGTATATTTGTGTCCTTGTTTATCGATATGGAAAAGAAGAAAGTAAAAATTCACTCAGATCGCACTGAAAATTCCAATGGAAAACGCTATTAGTATCATCATAGCAGCTCCTCTTTAGGCATTTATTTATAAGCTTACCACAACATATTAGAACATACTTATGTAAACCAGAGTAATTCTTTATAAGGTTTGGTTTTGGTTACTCGGTTGACGTCATATGTTACCAAAGCAATTTATGTAGATACATCTAACAAGGCACTTATTTATAAGCTTACTCTAGAACATACTATAATAAAAAATAACAAAATTAGAACATCCTAAACTTTGTAAAATTTAAATTTCGCTTAGAAATCTCCAAACTAAATATAAATTTGAAATATGACATTCAGTAATAGGGATACCACGGTATGTGTGACGTCATCACGGTAACCACAATCATAGAACACTAACCACAATAATGTAACCAAGTATGTTGTAGTAAGTTTATAAAGAAAAGCCTTTTATTATATTATTATCTCAATGATTCCACTAGATCTAGGACGTTTTAAAACAACTTTTAAAGAATTCGGAAGATCAGACAGAAAATACCGGCTTTATTCGTATGGTATATGTGGCAACGTTGTTAACAATAACTGACATTTGATTATTTGACATTTGACATTTTAGTGTATTATCAAACAGTAAAATTAAAGTGACATTCATATTGATAGTTATTTTTAAATATAATTTAATAAAGTTTTCCAATAAATTGACCGTTTGTTTTATAGTTAATTCGTATTTTCTGTTGTGCTAAGTAAAAAAATATACTCATATTTAGACCGTAAATAGTGTTTTAAAATGGGGGCTGCCCTGGGTATTTGTTCAGCTGCGCAGGTAAACAATATTTATCACATCATCCCATAGTAAACAATATTTTTATATGGCTTTGTTTTCTGGAACACTCTTATGATTTATAATTTTTTCGATTATAAGATGCATATTTGTAATTTTTACAATCAAGCGTATGCTAATAAAGTCGATAATGTTTCTTTGTGATTCTATCTACAACAAATTGTTTTTTTTCTATTTTATATGACTCATGAATTTGTTGCATATCAGATAAATTTAAATGTTTATAGCTTTTAAAGTATATAAAAATGTGATATGTTAAATTTTGGTTCACTGTTTAAACATGCAGGTTTAGTTAATGTATTTGTACTTTTCTGTTAAATAGTTGTCCATACTTCTTATAATTTTCTAAGTAAAAAAATACGTAGGTAATGATTGCACAAGTTATTTGACCATTTTGATGTAGGTAATTTCGCTTCATCGGAAGAATAATGACAAGTGTAAATTTTAACTTTGAGTTGATTATGGTATAATTTCAAAGAAAATTACATTTCTTCAGTGGAAGAATTGAAACTAGAATTAATTTGCTATCTCGAAGTTCCCTCAATTATTTCCGAAACTGTTCCTTAGTGTCTCAGTTGTAAGTTTCATATTAAATTTTTTTTTATTTGTGATTTTTGCGAAATCATTTATTTTAACTTGCATCATTGTTCTGGAGAAACAATTTGAAGTCTAAAGGAGTTCTCATCAGGGAACCTGATTATTCATGATCACTGTATGGTGGTGTGCATTTTGTCTGGGGGTACACATGATTATGTTTTGAAGGAGTAATAATATACAAAAATTTTGGGTCCCCTGCTGTTCTAAAATGAATATTTTTCTGCCTATGTTCTAATAAATTGAAAACTGGAAAAAGCAACACATCCAAAATGTCAGTCTTTTAAATTGCTCAAAAACATTACCACAGTATAGTATGCTTTTAAAAGCAATCACCCATATGTCTAGCAATGTGAACTGAAAGGAAAATATCTTTTATATATTAAAAAATACTTAGTTGGACATGTTCTTGTAGAATTTTGTGTTAAATAAATAACAATGTTGATATTTTTATAGAATTTTAACAGTAATTGGCATGTATATCATTGATACTGAAATACGAGATTATGAGCTATGTCATGAAACAATAATTTTACAGGAGATATAAAATGCAGTAGAATAATTTCTACATAGATTATATCACCAGATATTATAAATACATTTTTGTTAAGGAATACTAACAATACATATTGCAATGCATGCAGCATGTTGTTGATTTTTTTTTGACATATGTCTTGCAGCTTCAATGATGATATCAAATCAGTTTATTTACCATAAAACGACATTCACATAGTAAAAGCCACTTATGGGGCTAGTCAAATTTAAAAAATATTAAAATTTTTAAAAACAATTCTTAAAAATAGTAAATAATTATGTATACATAAGACTACTTATATTATTAAAAGAAACATACAATTTAAAATTTAGAAAATGACCTGGTTAACAGATTATGATACCTTCATTGTGTAGTTCAAGAAACTAAAAACAATATACTTCCCTGCGGACCACCTCTGATATAGTTAATTTTCTCTGACAAAATGTTATTTACTTTTAACTTTTGTTTCCTCTTACTTAGATAATCCACACACTACTCCAATGCTTGCTCTACTATACTCATACTTTTCAATTTTTTTATCAAACGGTTTTGATCAACAGTCTCGAATGCCCTTTGAAAATCTATAAAAACTGCCAATGTTAGATAGTTTTTATCAAATTTATATTTCCAATCATATAAAACACACTGGATAGCTGATTCACAGTTATGTTTGCTTCTGAAGCCCGATTGTGTTCTAGTAATAAGTTTATTTTGTTCTAAAAAATTAACAATTTGTTCATAAATGACCTTCTCAATGATTTTTTTGATACAACTTAACATACTAATAGGCCTTAAATCTGTAGCTTTATTTGCGTTTTTTGTCTTTGGAACAGGCACTACCATAGCAATTCTTAGACATTAGATATTTTTGAAATGTCTAATGAATTTATGTCAAATTTATCAAATTTAAAAGTGGTTCTGAGAGGTTGGGAAAACAGTTTTTTAAAATATTAATGTTAATGTCATCTGTGCTACTTTCATTGCAAAAAGAATGTCTCTTAAATTTTCCAAGAAAATGTCCATTATGTCTGTCTAAAATTTGATAATCTGGTATTGTATGATCAATCATACTAGCAATCGATTGGATACTGTCTATGTAAAATTTATTAAGAGCATCTGGCATGTCAAAAATATTTTTTATAATAACATTATTTTCTAGCTCAAGTTCAATTAAGTTATTCGACTTATTATTTTTTGGAATCATACATTCAAGATATTTCCACATTTCCTTTGAATTTCCCCTACTTTCGTAAATATTTTTCTCTATGTGTTTACTCTTTTCTGTTCTAATTACGTTAACGGCCCCACTTCTATGCATTTTGTATTCATTACAATTATTTTCTGTTTAATTAGCAAATCTTCATCAGAAGTAATATTTTTAGGTAGAAACCTCATATATAAGGTTTTCTCGCAATTTAGCTGAAGGCCATTTTCCTCACAATATCCCTCAAATTCCATTGTGACGTATTGCCATTTTCTACTAGGGTACTGACACATTTTTCAGACAGTATCACATTGGCATCATCTGCATAAAAACCAGCTTTACCTGATGTTTCACAAATGTTTGAAATGTCGTTTATAAAAATTATAAAGAATATTGGCCCAAGCAATGTGCCTTGAGGAATGCCTAATACATTACTCTTGCATTCAGATGAAGTCCCATCAATAGCTGTTGTCTGACACTGATCCACCAAATATGAGACTACCCAGTCATGTGGCTTTCCTCTTATTACTATACCTTCTAGTTTGTTTAACAGTAAGCTGTGGTCTATTGAGTCAAAGGCATCGGTAAGGTCATAAAAAATACCTATAATATGCTGTTTCTGGTTAAGTTCTTCATATATATAGTTTTGACATTCTAATATTGCTGTGTTAGTTGATTTATTAGCTCTAAACCCGTGTTGGCTGTAGGAAATTATTTTAAAATTTTTGAGATACTTTACTAATCTAGTGGAAAATTATTAATATTCGGAAAAGTTCTGGTAGTGAGTGATAAGTTGATTAGGTATGTAAGTGGTACACATATGTATTCAGCAACCGTAGCCAGAACTTTGCCATTAATATTGTCTATACCAGTGGAAGGTTTAGTAGTGTTTTTTTTTTTCAATAAAGTTATTACTTCTTCTGGGACTACTGGTGTGAAAAAAAATCTTTTAGGAAAATTTACTGTTTGGTTTTGAACAAGTATCAGCTAACCCTACAAAATAATTATTTGATACATTACTTTTTTCTAGAGGATTTATTTTGTTTCCATTATTTTTTGTACGGGTATAGAGGAACTACTGTTTAATTTTTGATTATTTTCCAGCTATCTTTCATAATATTTACAGAATTTTTTTTCATGATATATGTTCTTTATACAAGAAACGAACCTGTCATGTGGAAAATATATCTTTTGACTACTAAATAGTGTGTCAAGTTAATTGTGTACTATATCTGACAGGTTTAATATATACAAAATTAATTTACAGCTGGCATGCTGTTGTACGAGTACAGCTTGCTCGCTCTGCTGTTCTGCATGTCCATCATGCAGAAATTCAACATCTTCCAGGATCATGTACGCCTTAATGTTGCTGGTTACAACAGTGGTAGCTTGTATCACTCTTTCTCCTGGATTAGAAAGCGCCCTAAAGAAGGTAAGCCAATATTTGTGATAATAAAGAATGGTCAAGAATTAAGTTTATTATTTTAGGTACCATTTTGCAACAATTCCTCTCGTTTGGTACCGGATTCAATAGTGATCAATTGTGAGCATGCTGTGGGTTATCTGGCAGTTTATAGAATTTGTTTCATATTGACCTGTTTCTTTTCATTGATGGCTCTGATGATGATTGGTGTTAAGACTTCCAAAGATCCGAGAGCTGGAATACAAAATGGGTAAAAAAGTTACTTTTATTTTTTATTTATTTACGGTATTACCTTATTAGGCATTCACAGTCAAAATAGCTTCTTTCTCTAGAATGGTATAGCATAGATAAAGAGTTAAATCTGATATTGCAATTATGAAGATTGTAAGTACTGAATTTTCGAAAATTTTGCATTCTAAATTAATAAAAATTTAAGAAATTTCTTTTTTAACAAATTTTAAAGTTTTAACTATCTGAAATTAAAAATGATTTTAACTTACAAATAAAATGACTATGGGGTTTATTCTGTAACAATTCCTTTATATTTAACGGTCTTTAAAAATATTGGCGGCCTTTAAAAATATTTGCTGCCTATAAAAATATGTTCGTATTCGTTAATTTCTTCTGTCATTATTTAAATAGATTTCTCTAAGATAGTCCTCTAATGTATTTTAAAGATCCGTTTAAATAATGACAGAAGTAAAGAAGAAAATATTTTTAAAGGCCGTTAAATATAAAGGAATTGTTACAGAATAGACCCCAATGTATTGTAAAAATATATTTTGTACTTTTTCAATATGATCAATATGTGTGGCTTCCAAGGGCATAAATATTTGTGAAACATACTCAAGATGAGTATGAGTCTTACTAAGGCATTATATAATCTGATTTTGGTGGTAATCCTAATTTTTTTTTTGTATTTCTGATTTAAAAACCCAAAGTTTTTATTGCTTTTTTAGTTATGTGTAAGAAATGGTCATTGAACTTCTGAAAGACAACTCCCAAATCCTTTACCTCACCCTCATCCTTTACCACATTTCAGAAATGTTTCTGGGATGTTTCGTAATATTAATACAACATTACAAATGTTTCAATGTAATATTTTTGAAATATTTCTGAAATGTGTTTGTGCTGTATGAGGTATTATGTATTATATATAATACAAAACTATTAGAATACTGTTACAAAACTTTATTTATTTATTTGAAACAGCAATACAAAATAATTAATTATAAAACTCTTCCTTATTTAAATAATGCATTAAATAAGTAATAGTTGTTAAATATATATTTATTACATTCTCTTGAAAATATTTTTTTTATATCCTGATAGCATATTATAAATTTTTAGTGCTAAATATAAATTTATAAATAATAAATATTTATATATGTGCATATTGCTGATATGACATGTAAATAGTTCTGATATTGCAAGTATCATAATAAGTAAACAGCAATACACTTTATTTTTATTTTTTTTTTGTAGGATATTTAATTTGTATAAGGCATTACCATATAAACCATCCCAATACATGATAAGTAAATTTTTCTTATTTAAAACATCTTTTAAACAATACAATCTATACATTAGTTTGCTAATTTTATTAGAAATATACTCTAGAAAACTGAACAAAATTGAAGACCCAAAAATTAAAGTATCTGGGAGTTACTGTAGACACTTTAATTTTTGGGCGTCTTTAATTTTTTTCAGTTTCAAGAGTAATAAATATAGTGTGGACATTGTTACTGTTAAAAAAAAACGCCATATAATTAGTTTTTTTTTAAAGATGGATCTTTTTTAATCAATTTTCTATTAACGTTATTCTATAGACCATCTAAATCTAAGACAGTATCATTAGCAGAGGATATTATTGTTTCCTCAATACTCACTCTCAGAAGGGAATTTAAATAATTGAACAAAATCGGTCCCAAGCCGGTTCCTTGAGGAACCACAATCCATATTTTCTGTCTAATAGGTCGTTATATTAAAAATATCCTTTATCAGAATATTTTTATTTTTTGCTATAAATTCTAAAAGGAAACTATAAAGTTTTTTTTATATTTATTACTAATTACCTTATGATCTAAGGTATCATCGAGTATTTATTATTGTTTCATGGTGATTAAAAAAGGTAATATTTCAATAATTGGGGCCAACTGAAATGTGAAGATTACTTGTAACTCAAGCCAAATTGTCCTTGATAACAGGCATCGATTTATATAAAATACTATTTTTCTTTTTTAGCTTCTGGGGAATAAAGTACCTCCTAGTTATAGGAGGTATAATCGGAGCGTTTTTCATACCACAAGGTTCGTTTGGCTTAACTTGGATGTATTTCGGAATGATTGGTGGGTTCCTGTTCATTCTGATCCAGCTGATATTGATAATCGATTTCGCTCACTCCTGGGCCGAAGCCTGGGTGGGTAATTACGAAGAGACCGAATCTAGGGGATGGTATTTTGCACTTATCGGCATGACTTTGCTGAATTACGCTTTGAGCATTACTTGGATCGTGTTGCTGTACGTGTTCTACACCAAAGTAAGTAACTTGTTTAATATTTTACATATTTATACTAGTTATGCTTAATTTTTGATAGACTCAAGTATTTAGCTCAACAAAATTGGACGTAGTTATGCAGAAATGGTCCAATCCACAAATCTACCAGAAATGACTTGAGTAGCTTTTGGATAAGTTACAGTCCAAAATTATATTCTTCTGAAACGATCCAACAATAAAGAAGGATATTAATAGTGAAAATCATAAATACTTGCTATATATTCTATTGTTATCGCTTAGAGAATTTGACTTTAAGATCATTTTTCTCAAATTATGGATTGGATTATTTCTACATAACTATGTCCAATTGATCCAGTATACAGAGTGTTTCATTAACAATTGAAAATCTGTTAACTAGAGACATTACCATTGACTTGAACATGTCTTAAAATGTTTTTTTGAATGTTAAAATTGTATTTCTTATTTTGAATATAAACGTATTTTTAGCAAAAGAAACTATGCTAAGTTTAACTCACTATTAGCATGTAAAACGTGATTTTCAGTTTATGAATCTCGTTTTGTAAATGATATGTATAATATCTTCATTAATAATCTTTGTGGACCCTATAATGAGGGGTTTCCATTAAAAAAGATGTGCAAAACAATAAAACCCAAGTGGAGGTCTCAAAAAATTAATGAAGCTAAAAATATTCTTAATATTTTATCGGAAATGTACTTATTAAATCAAATCTCTAAATATCAACTGAACAAATTTAAAACATATTATGCAAATCTAATACAGAATAAGAAAAGAAATTTTACAATAAAAAAATCTTAACATCAGACAATAAAATGAAAACTGCTTGGAATGCAAACTTTGAATTAGGCAAAGCTAAAACAAAAAATAAATTTTCTTAGTCTCTTTGCCAACTACAGTTGCTAATTATTTTTAACCGACTTCAAAAAAGGAGAAGGTTATCAATTCGTCGCGATATTTTTTTTTATGTATGTTCAGCGATTATTCTTTAACACGGTGTCCGATTTCAATGATTCTTTTTTTGTTAGAAAGGGGGTACTTCAGGGGGTGGTCCCATATAAATTTAGTCAAAATCTAATAATTGGGTCCATGAGAAAATCCTCAAACTCTTCATTTTTTATGTACGTTTAGCGATAATGCTTTACCACCTTGTCCGATTTATATGATTCTTTTTTTTTATAATAAGGGAGTACCTCAGGGATGGTCCCATATAAATTTGGTCGAGATGTGGTGATGGCATCTGCACGTTTTTGAAGTCGGTTTTTTTAAATTTTTAATTTCTAATACTTGTAATGATTTCTTTGTCTCGGTAGCTACAAATTTATTAAGAGGTGTGTCCAGTAGTGCTAATTTAAATTATGTTGATGATTATCCAAGATTATTATACATATGTAACGCCAGAAGAACTAAAGAATATAATCAACCACTTGAAAAATAAACACTCAACAGGTGATTATAACATCAGTAATGTGATGTTAAAATACATCTGCATCCATATAATATATTCACTATGCTATATCCTCAATGAATTCTTTAAATCTGGTATTTTTCCAATGCGCTTGAAGACTGCTGTTGTAATACCTATTCACAAAAAAGTGGTCAACTACAACAGCAGTCTTCAATTTTGTTGAGAAAATTTTACACTTTTTAGATTCGGGAAATATTGTTCACGGAGTTTTCTTAGATTTAACAAAGGCTTTTGATTGTGTGAATCACCATATACTTCTTAATAAATTATACACAATGGGGGTGCGAGGTAATGTATATGACTGGTTTCAATACGACACAACGGGTTTGTTTTAAATATGACAATAGCGAATATTACTCTGAATCAAAGAATACTATGCTGGATGTTCTACAGGGAAGTGTCTTAGGTCCTATTTTATTTGTATTATATCTAAACGATTTTAAAAATCTTCCCACCTCTGTGTGTAATATACTATTGTCTACCGACCCACAAAACTGCCCTACTGGAAAAGGGATGCTGTTACAAATGTTTTCAATTTTATAATATGCTTCCTGATCTTTTAAAAAACACTAAGAGCTTTACAGCTTAGATGATGTAAACGAAGTGATTATAAGTATTTATTATTTTTAAATACTTTGTGAAATCAATATGGGTTTTGCTGGGTTTCCCCATATTTCTTAGCAAATGCACCACTATATTCATTTTTAAGTCATCCCAGTGTGCACTTTGTAGATCATCAAATTAGTACAGATTATCCTAGCTTCTGACTTATTGTCACAAATCCCTAAAATAATAATTTTTATCATTTTTTTTTTCGGTTAAAGTAGAAAGAAATATAGGTTCATTTTAGTAGGAACTTGTTTTATTATAATTAATTTAGATTATCATTAAAATTAATGTGGCATTAATGAAAAATTAAATAATTAATAACAATATTCTATCTATATTTTGTGAAAGTATTATTAACTGGAATTTTTTTTATATAAAATTCAAAAAACAAAAATAATTATTTTAGCAAATTAAATTAAAACTTCAAATATGCAAATATTTTAAGAAATATATAGTTTAGGTATATGCATTTTAGGTAATTTTTTTAATTTTAATTGGGGTAATATAGAATATGTCTGAATTAATACACGTTATTATTTTTTTTTATGAATAGGTAAAGAGCAATAAAATGAATACATACATTAAAATATAGAGTATAGAACTATAATTTGTGAAAATTAAAATTGAAAAATTAATTCTGATTGTTCTACTTTAATATTAAAATATATTATCATGTTTTTTTAATTGTATATGTATTTTATACAATTATACAATTTTATGTTTTTTCTGTATAATATTGTTCTTGGCGTTAATAAATATTATTATTATTAAGAGATATTGGCTTATCACTAAACTTAAACGTTTTTCAGAAGAAACCAGAAAATTTATTTTTCAAAATTACATTGATTTTGTTAAATTTTAGAATAAAAAAAAATAATTAAATTTTATATTGCTCGTTCATGTAAAAAAAAAATGTAATTGTTAATTAATATTTCGCAATCAGTCATTTAAGAAAATTAAAATCGAGAGTGTATAGTTTTGCAACATTTGTATTTGTATTGTTATATTTGTAATTGTATTGTAATGAAATAAAACGTGAAGGCGTGATAGTAAATAAAAAAAAATTAAAATAGTGGAAAACATGTTCTCAAAATCTGTATGTCCAATGCGTCCATCAAATACGTACAAATGGTGTCCAATATGACAAATTCTTTATTGTTTTTTAGTCGAGCGGCTGTGATCTAAACAAATTCTTTATCTCGATCAACTTGATATTCTGCGTAATAGTGAGCGTACTATCCATACTGCCCTCCGTTCAAGACAAGTTGCCAAGATCGGGCCTATTGCAATCGTCCGTAGTCACTTTGTATGTGACTTATCTCACTTGGTCGGCTGTATCGAATTCTGCACGTAAGTACATTTTATCGCTTTACCTTTTGGTATCGCTCTGTATACTATATTAAAATACTAAAATAGAGACGTTGTCCACACCAGACGTTCCCTACCAGAAAAAATCTCTTTCGGGCTGGGTTCTACGAGTTACACCTGAAAATTGGTAAAATCAATTTAAGAAGACTGTTTTTGTTAAATAACTTGACTATCGTTTCAACTAGGAAGAAGTGGTTTGCATCATTAAGTTCCTCTTTAAAAGCTCTACAAATTGGTTTTTAAAAAGTCACCGCTGAGTTGTCCGTAAGGCTAGAAAATAGGATTTTCAGATCTAAGGACCCCGCAATAATCTTATGGAAATTGGGTTTCTGTCAAATTGTCTGAATTTTTGATATGTTGTAGATTTTGTCATCCTGAACAAAAGTCTCCATGGGCACAAAGTGCCAAAATGAATATTTTGGCAGCTACGGAGCTGCCAAAGCTCACCTGACCCGTTGCAAAACTATTCATTTTCAATACTATTTACAGATGTCAAAAGCATATTTTAATTATTCAACCCTCATGTCAGATTGGACAAATTGACCGTTGACAGCTGTCAATTCACTGTCAACGAGGAAAATAAAAGTAAATATCCTCTTTTCACATTGAGAGTTTGGGTTTTTGAGGTCGCTGAATTCAATTCTCATGTCAGATTCGATAATTTGACAGTTGACAGCTATCAATTGACTGTCAACGAGGAATATAAAAGTAAAAATATCCTCTTCACATTAAGAGTTTGGGTTTTTGAGGTCGCTGAATTCAATTCTCATGTCAGATTGGACAAATTAACAGTTGACAGCTGTCAACGATCTCAAAAACCCAAACTCTCAATGTGAAAAGAGGATATTTACTTTTATATTCCTCGTTAACCGTGAATTGACAGCTGTCAACGGTCAATTTGTCTAATCTGACATAAGGGTTAAATCCAGTGACCTCAAAAACATTACCCTATATATTAGAATAATCAAAATATGCTTTTGACATCTGTAAATAGTATTGAAAATGAATAGCTTTACAACGGGTCAGGGGAGCTTTGGCAGCTCCGTAGCTGCCAAAATATTCATTTTAGCACTTTGTGCCCATGGAGACTTTTGTCTAGGATGACAAAATCTACAACATACCAAAAATTCAGACAATTTGACAGAAACCCAATTTCCATAAGATTATTGCGGGGTCCTTTGGGGGAATTTTAACAGAAATAAGTGTTTTTGTTAAATACAAACTGATTTTTACTAATTCATATTGAGTTGTCTGTAAGGCAGGATAGTAGGATTTTCAGATTGAATTTTAAGAGAAAAATGTTTTTGTTAAATAACTTGACTATCGTTTAAACTAGGAAGAAGTAGTTTGCATTGTTGAATTTCTCTTTAAAAGCTCTACAAACTCGTTTTTACTAATTTATGCTGGGTTGTCTGCTATTTGTCTCCTGTGCTTTCTTGTTATCTCTTGACCAGTTTCCTGCATTTCCTGTATTTTCTTTCCAGTGTCCTTGGAGTTATTGCTCACTGTGCATCTGTCATTTTATGTTTATAATACTTTACTATCCTGGGACCTGAGCTTGTCATTTCAGGATTATCATAATATAAACAAACTTTTTGTAAATTTCCATAGTTACATTTCTCTAACTTCCTTAGTCAAATCTCTTTAACTGCCATAGTTACATCTCTTCAGCTTCCATAGTTTTACATCTTTCCAACTACTTAATCCTGGCCCAAAAAAAATTATCTCCCCAAGGAATTCGTCTCTATCTCAATATGTATTTAAAGGTATCTTATGCTCAAGATTCGTCTCTGGTGCTATCTTTTTATTTTTCTCTTAGATTTAAGTCAAAATTATAATTTGTATACATATAAATAAAAATTTCCTTGGTTTCTTCGGTCATTGTTTTTATTTTCAATCATTTAGCACAGCACTACATATGTTACGGATTTTTTTTCCATATTCGGGTGCAGTCAAAATTTAAAAAATTTAAAAACCAAGGAAAAAAATTTTTATTTATTTAAAATTCTGCTACGGTCAGAAAATTATCCTTATTCAAATTTGTATTAAATTATCGTTTGTATCAATGTGTGGATTTTTTTTAGGAGAATGCAATCCAGGCCTGTGGGGTATTTTCGGCGTCAAGGCCAGCGACAATCCGAAAAGCAATAGCGATTTCGATATTATAGGTTTGATCATATGGTTGTGCTGCGTTTTGTATTCATCTCTGAGATCTGCCAGCAAATCTTCTAAAATCACTATGTCCGAAAATATGCTGGCCAAGGATACAGGAGCAGGTAATTTTTTATTATATTGTTTTTGTTTTACAGATTGGTATGGTAGATATTTTTCATTCACTTTGTACCTCAATAAGAATGTCATTTGGCCATTTATAGTATATAAATATAAGCTTTAATGCACTAATTAACTAATTAAAACACAAATAATACTCAAATTTGTTAAATGAAGACACAGGTGGATAAGTGTCCTAACAATTTTTCAAAAAATGATTTTCATGGTCTTATATACTTAAAATATACTATTTTTTAGTTTCTGTTAGTTCTGATTTCCAAAATTGATAATTACTGGCTATTCTTCAGATAGGAAGGTGTCATGAGCTATATATCATAATGCAAGTATTGTAAAACTTTTAAATTTGTTTTCCTTCAAATAATCTTTTTGTGACATGACACCTTTTCCACTCGTGTTTTCAAATGTCTTACAAGTTTTCATGTTTCAATGCTGATAATTATAACAGACTTATTTTCTATACAACCTTGTACAAGCTATATAAAAACATAGAAATAGTGGCAAAATTTTCAGTATCGTCCCGTTTCAATTCTATTTTCCAGTACGCCAAGCTGACTTAAGAGAATGATGATGATATAATCTTCTATAAAATTTTCAATGGTATTAGTCAAAATCCAGGTATTTTGTCTCAACTTTATTTGAAAGTACCTCAAAGAGATCTAAAAACTTGTAAACTTTTTCATCGTCCATTTTGGACAACAAATTGTTTGCAAAACTTTTCACTGTTTAAGAAATGCAAATCATTTTCGTAATACCTTTGATTTCTTTGATATATCTTCAGTTGATGTTTCATTTTCTGTCTATTTAAATTTAATATCAATGTTTTAAATGTTATCTGAAAAGGTTATGACTAATATGCCGGTATGTTGCAATAACGAAGAAGAATTCAAAGCTTCGCCAGTCAACTCTTACTTTTAATCTTTACCTTTAGATTTTTGTTATCGTGGCATTCTGATGTCTGGTCGTGCAAACACTGAACCTGGAGAGTGTGGACTGTATTTAAGGGCTGGTATTTAAATGTTCCGGGAAGTGTGACCGAGTCAGTACGGAATTACAATTTCTAAAAAGCATGTGTTCATTTTGCGGTTTTTGAAGAGATAATGTCAATTCTACTGTTAACACGAAAATAATTCTTCTAAACGACGCACACAGGGTCAAAAAGTATCAAAACTTACCAACAATTTTTGAAAGCATTAAAGCTTATACTTTTGAATTCACATTTTTAGAAGATTTTAAATTAAATTTTGTATAAATTGATCATTTTAATAGTTGGCGTTCAGTTACGTCATCTAGCGGTCGTCTTACGATTATCTAAATTATTTCCAGAAGATGTACTATAAACGGTTCTTGAGATATGACCAAATAACATTCTTATTGGACCGCTTGGTACATATTTAGCACCCAAAATTAATGGATAAACTCTATCTTCTTTCGCTATTAACTAACCCAGATATAACAAAATTGCTAAATTATATTTACTAAAAACATAGACACCCAATAAGTGTTTTGCTAAGTTAGCATCTTCAGGAAGCTATTAAATCTCTTCCAAATATATAACATTTTGTTTATCAACACAATAAAGATACTATAGCATGATTAGCAAAACATTTTGTTTGTATAGTTAAAAAGGTTTGTAGTTTTCAATTTTGCTATAACATTATATTTTATTTATTATTGCTTATATTCCTTTCCAGTTTTTTTTTGTTGGAATGCTTTTCTGTTCTTTTTATTTGTTTCATTTTGTGAATGGTTATCCTTGGCATTGTGTAGTGAAACATTTTTAAACGCTTCAATCGCAATAAGCGATATTAGTTGCTCATTCCGAATTCTAATCGTTTATTATTTTTTTTTTATCTTCAGTCCGAGGCTATGGATCAGATAATTTGGTTGAGAACGAAGGTAGGTAAATTTAGATATGTAATTTTTTCGGAGCTTCAAGTGTGGTGGATGTTGTAATGTACATACAAGCATTTTTCATTGTATATTATTTATAACAAAAAAAAAAACGAAAATATAAATGGAATACTGTTTATTGATTAGTTTGAATAAACACTGAAGAAACATCTCTCTAAATACCAAATACCCAGTAATCACGACAACATTACTTAGGGATTGTCGTGTGTATTCTAATTCTGATTAAAGTCCATTAGAATTGCTATGTATGTCATCTGTCAGCTGCTATTTATGTCATCTGTCAAGCCCTTTTTCTATCATATATTCAGGAATTGCGCTAACGTTACTTACGACCATTTGCACCTACGTATTTAAGGATTACTTAAAGTTAAGTATAATTTAAGTGACATACTTTCATTGCACCGTCAGTTAAGGAGCCCTTTTCAAACATTTAAACTATTCTTAATAAAACCGTCAAATTTTGAGACTTAAACATTCCTTACCTACTTTCACAGTGACATTTTTTATAGTTATAACAAAAATATGGATCCCGAGGATAATTTTATATTTAATGAACTGGAAATAATTGAAATTGTTGATTTTGGGTTTCCAAGACTGTTGTATAATAGAACTAATTATTTCTTGACCTTTTTTAAAAGGTTTAGATTGTATATAGAAACTGTAATGCAAGTTCTGGAACAAATTGAAAATATCACAGATTATTTTATTTGAGTAATATAATATTTTGTATTTTTAATTATTTTGTTGAATCTATTTCGATAATCTATATATTCTTGTTTTTTCCAATCAATTGGATTTCTCAAGAGAGATTTTTTGAGATTCACTGCCACTATCGGTAAACGTAAAATTTACACAGGGAGGGTTAACACTTTATAGTTTTACAGATTTAGTTTTTTTCACGATGAAAGACGTCATTCACCTGGTTTTTTATTTTATTTTTTTATTAGGTATTCCAACGAGCTGTCTAAATGGCTACCAGTGGGGAGTGACAGTTCAGATATGGTAACCCTATTGTCATGTTGTCATTAACAGGGTCAATGATACATATATGGTTATGTAGATTGCTCAAAGCTGGCCGTTTGCGAACGGCCATATTGCCTGGCAAATATTTATTAATTTGAATCGGATTAGCAAAAATGTGTTTTAAAACCAATTTTTAGCATTTGGATATTTAACTTCAACATTTTTACTTCAAGGTATAAGTTTATGTTTATTTTTAAAACCGTGGATAATTAATCTATATAACTGTCTATAGCATTGACCCTATCAAACTACCAGCCTCACAGTTTTGCCATGTTATAACACGTCATGTGTCTGTCAGTGGCCTGTCATTTCAAACTGTCAGCCATTTCGTTTGGAATGCCTAATAGTATGGGTTAACTTTTTCTTCTTTTTCTTTATTACCAATATATCAAAATTTCAATGCAATTTACTGGTTGTCGATTAAGAACAAGACCACTTATTACCGATGAGAAGAATAACTAAACTTCCTTTGGTAAGGCGGCATAAAATGTAAATGGTGGAAATTACCTACATAATTTTGTGGATTCCTTAAATCTTTAAGGAACCTTGAGTAAGGAATCTTAAATAAAAAGTCGGTGCAAATGGCCGTTAGGGATTGTTCTGTTTATTCTAACACCAACTAAATACCATGCGAATTTATATTTATGTCTTCTGTCAGCTGCTATTTATGTAATCTGTCAGCTTCGATTTATGTCATCTGTCAGCTGCTGTGTATGTCATCTGTCGGCTTCTAATAATATCATCTCTCGGGTTCTTCAAATTTAAATGGAATACTGTTTTCTGACTAGCGTGAATTCTAGTTTGAATAAACAGTGAAGAAACATCTCTCTAAATACCAAATACCCAGGAATCTAATTCTGATTAAAAGTCCATTAGATTTGCTATGTATGTCATCTGTCAGCTGTTACGTACGTCATCTGTCGCCTTATATTTATGTCATCTGTCAAGTCCTTTTTCTGTCATATATTTAGAAACCGCGCTAACATTACTTATGGATTCTTCTGTGTATTCTAACACTAACTAAATACCATGCGAATTTATATTTATGTCTTTTGTCAGCTGCTATTTATGTAATATGCCAGCTTCGATTTAGGTCATCTGTTAGATTAGATATAATTACGACTGTGGACCATGAGGCCTCCCCCACCTCGACCTCTTTAGATCTATTGTGGATATCCTTGAATCGTTCTTTAGAGTCCTTGTCTAATTCGGTCTTTTGTAGCTGACTCCATAGACTGGGAAGTAGTTCTCCGGTATAGCTAGTTGCCCTTGGCTTTTCTACTCCAAGTGTAAGTAATCTCAGTCTTACTAGACCTTCGCAATAGCACAATACGTGTTCTGCCGTTTCCTCCTCTTCCTGACAGAATCGGCAAAATGTCTCTTCTGTCAGACCGATATAATACATATGTTTGTTAAGCCTACAATGCCCTGTTAATAGACCTACTAGTACTCTAGTATTTTTCCTATTAAGGTTTAGTAGATGCTCGGTGAGTTTAGGCGATGGTCCTTTTAAGAACTCTTTGGCCTGTCTCTGTCCTGGAGAGTTTTTCCACCACTCCTAAGATTTTTTAAACAACTGCTTTGTGCATGTTCTGATAGTTGTTTCTGTTACACCATAGAAGGGTTCTGGGCCAATAAGAGCCTTTGAGGCTCCTTCTCGGACTAGTAAATTAGCCTCCTCTGTGGCCTGGTACCCAGGCTAAGGTTAGTCTATTTTGACTACCCAGCTCTGTTAGGGCTTCCAAACAGTCCCACACAAGCTTTGAGTGTACCTGCATGAAACTGAGTGCCTTCAGCGTCGCTTGACTGTCTGAGTATATGACAATGGTCATCTGTTAGCTGCTATGTAAGTCATCTGTCGGCTTCTAATAATGTCATCTATTATTTTAGATGAAATTTAAAACACCAGAGACAAAATATTAATTAGGGTTACAAGAAAGCTCAATTTTTCTAAATATTGACCATATTATAGTGGCTTAATACTCAATGAAGGTGTAACACAGCTTCGTTTAAGCTTTCCTCAACTATGGTTTCATTTGAATCAATCCACATTCTGCTATTCTCAAATTCCTATAAATATCTTTACAAATTCCTTTTCAGACATCTGTTATCTCTACCTCTTGCTACCAGACATTCTTTTTTGTCCCTTGGTTTCTTCACTTATATCTCTTTCAACTAGTTCTTCTAAGTCTATTAATTAAAATGTTTGTTAGTATATCTGTTATTTACTGAACTGTGGTTTCTAATTGAATCAATGTCTATTCTACCATTCTAAAATTCCTTTAAATATCTTTCTTAATACTTCAAGTCCTTGTTTTTGTCATCTGTTAGCTGTCATTCGTGTCATCTGTCAGTTGCCATTTGTCGGCTTCTATTTATGTCATCTGTCGAGTATTATTTTCTCAATTTTTAAGTCCTTGTTCTTTCTCGTAATGTTGGAGTACCAGTTCCTTTTAAAACATCTGTTACCTCTACCTCTTGCAACCAGACATTCTTTTTTGTCTCTATGTGTTGTTTTAGGTCTCTATTAACTTTAACTTTCTTCAGCTGCCTTTCTATAAGTTATTTCAATTTTTTTCAACAGTATTCAATACCCAGTGTTTATAAGGTTCGTTTTTTATGAGATTACCATTTGCAAACATATTCATTTCATTTTAAGTATCTAGACACAGAAGTAGGAGGAGTTTGTATAATGGACCGAAAATGAATCCTGAGACATCCAGAAAGAGGTCGACAGGAGAAGAATACCGCTCACCAAGCAGATTTTTGTCTAGTATGGTATTTTCGATAAAACATTAATAGAATCTTTGATTAATTTTTCAAAACTACCTCGTATTTCTGATTGACTTTCTTTCAACCAACTCTCTATATTAAAATATTACAATATCCATCATACTTTCCCTTTAGGACTACACTGACACACCATTCTACTATACGTATACATAATGCCTCGGGTCATCCACTCACTCTTTTCTTTTTTACTTTATTTTCTTCTTTTCTGTTCTCGCCCGTTTTTAATATAAGAAGAACCCTATACTCCTATCGCAGGTAACGATGGCGGTGAAGGCGGCGGCGACGGCGGTAAAAGAGTGTGGGACAACGAAGAGGAGACGGTCGCTTACAGCTGGAGTTTCTTCCACGTCATGTTCGCCTTGGCGACGCTGTACGTGATGATGACGATCACCAACTGGTACAAGTAAGTCGATTATTTATTCTCGTACCTTGTAATACTTACCGGTGTGGAAGGTTGCCAACATTGTACCGATGCTGACCTAGAGATAAATAATCAAATAATAAAAATGAGGGACGAAGTGAGGGATGAAATAACATATTAATATATTTTCCGCTATTTTATTGTATCCCGCATAAAACTAATTTATGCAAGCGAAAATTAAAATCTTTAAATCATAATAATTTATGCGGGATCAATTTTATGCTGATATGATTCTATTTGGATTGATTTTGATCAAATTAATTTAATATGGAAAAAGGGGTGTTTAATAACCATATAAAGTAACACATTAATATATTCACTGCTGTTCTCCCACATAAAATGAAATTCATCTGAGATTGTTTTTATGCCGGATTAATTTTAATGGAATTGTTTTTTTTTTTTTTTTTTTTTTTCAATTAAAGTTGTATCATTTTATACGAGTTTAATAACCATATGAAATAATACATTAATAAAATTCCCGCTATTATCCCACATAAAATTAAATTTATCTGGAATTGCTTTTATGCGGGATTCATTTTATGCGGAATTCATTCTTATTCGGGATCGATTTTTTTAAATTAATTTTATGTGAGAATTGTTTTTAAAATTAATATTATGTGGGATTGATTTTACGCGGTTCTGATTCTATGTGAAATAGATTTTTATGAGTCTGATTTTATGAGGGATTGAATTTGATCAATCTAATTTGGTGGGATAGACAAATAGTTTTGTTGTGGACAAAAAGGGAAGAGTTAATGGGTCCTATGATTGAACGTTTATGTTATCGGTAACGTATATGTTAGGCCGAATTTTAAAAGTAACGAGGCAAGTTCGTATGATGGAAACCTGTTAAATTAGAACATAACAGGCGGAAAATAACAGTAATATGTTATGAAAGACTTTACATCATACGAATTTGTCTCTTTGCTGTTAAAACTCGGCCTAACATGTACGTTACGGATAACGTAAACGTTCAATCATAGGACCCAATAACCATATGAAATAACACATTAATATATTCACTGCTATTATCCCACATAAAATTAAATTCATCTGGGATTGATTTTATGCTCAAATGATTTTATTCGGGATTGTTTTTATGCCGGATTAATTTTAATGGGTTTTTTTTTCAATTAATTTAATTTGGGAATGACTGTCTATAATTGTCTTACTATGCTATTATTCTATTCCAAAGCTATTTGTATGATTTTATGTGGATCTCTTTCTATGCAAGATTAATTTTAGATTTTATGCGGGTCTGCTTTTATGTGGGATATATTTTTTAAATTAATTTTATGTGGGATTCATTTTACGTGGTTCTGATTCTATGTAGGATAGATTTTATAGGAGCCTGACTTTATGAGGGATTGAATTTGATCAAATTAATATGATGGTGGAATAGACTAATAGTTTTGTTGTGGATAAAAAGGGAAGAATTAATAACCATATGAAATATCACATTAATATATTCACTGCTATTATCCCACATAAAATGAAATTCATCTGGGATTGATTTTATGCTCGAATGATTTTATTCGGGATTGTTTTTATGCCGGATTAATTTTAATAGAATTATTTTTTTTTTTCAACTAATTTTATTTGGAAAGGTCTTTGTGTATCATTGTCTTACTATGCTATGATTCTATCCCAAAGTTATTTGTATGATTTTATGTGGATCTGATTCTGTGTATAATTAATTTAATTTGGAAAATAGGTATTTAATAACCATATGAAGAAACACATTAATAAAATTACTGCTATCATCCCACATAATATTAAATTTATCTGGGATTGCGTTATGCGGGATTTATTTTATACGGGTCCTATTTTAGACATGATTTATTTTATGTGGGATTCCTTTATGCGGGATTGTTTTTAAATTAATTTTGTGCGGGATTCGTTTTATTATTATTAATTTTATAGGGAGTTGATTTTACGCGATTCTGATTCTATGTGAGATTGATTTTATATGAGTCTGATTTTATGAGGGATTGAATTTGTTCAAATTAATTTGATGGTGGACAAAAAGGGAAGAGTTAATAACCATATGAAATAACAAATTAATATCTTCACTACTATTTGTATTATTTTATGGAATCTGATTTTATGTGGGATTGATTTTAAACAAATTGATTTGATCTGGAAATTAAAGGATAATTTTGTTGTGGAAAAAAGTGGAGGGTTTAATGACCATATTATGAAATATTCATATATTTACTGCTCTTTGGATCCTGTGTAATATTAATTTTATGTGGGATTGATTTTGCTCTAATTTGATTTGGCATTGAACAAATAATTTTGTTGTGGACAAAAAAAGGGACAGTTAATAACCATATAAAATGACGCAATATATTTGTATGAGTTTGTTTGTCTGATTATATGTGGGATTGATTTTGTGCAGATCTCATTTTATGTGGGATTTATTTTGTTCAAATTAATTTCTTTTCTGAATCAAAAATATTTTTGTAGTAAAAAAGGGGAGAGTTTAATAACCATATATGCAGGGTGTTCAATATATTAACTGGAATTTGTATACTACATAAAATTAATTTGATCTGGATAAAAATATTTTTATGGGAGGTATTATAAACATTTTGTTGTGAAAAAAGGGGAGAGTTTAATAATCACATAAAATAACACTTATTAACCAATATTTATGTCCCGCATAAAATAAATTTTGTGTGGAATTTGTTTTATGCGGTTCTGAATCCATGCGAGATTAATTCTATGTATCTACTAACTTTGACCAAATTATTTTGATGAGTGAATTATACAAATAATTTTGTTGTGGAAAAAATTAAATAGCACATTAATATATTTATCACAACTTGTATTGCACCAAAAAAAATAAATAAAATTAAAATAATTTTGTTAATTTTTCTGGGATTAATTTTATGCGGGACAGTTTTTATTCGGGATTAGTTTTATGCGGATATAATTTTATGTGGGATTGAATTTTTTTATTCATTTTATGTAGGAATGATTTTTAAATTAATTTGATGTGGGATTGATTTTATTTTTGTAATAAAAAAGGGGAGGGTTTATTAATATTATGAAATAACATTAATCGATACTTCTGTCCCGCAAAAAATAAATTTTATGTGGAATTTGTTTTATGCGGTTCTGATTCTATGCGAGATTGATTTTATGTGGCTACTAATTTTGGTCAAATTATTTTGATGAGTGAATTATACAAATAATTTTGTCGTTGAAAAAATTAAACAGCACATTAATAATTCATCACAATTTGTATCGCACCAAAAAAAAATTAAATTTAATATAATTTTGTTAATTTTGTTGATTTATATCATGCGGGATAATTTTTATTCAGGATTAGTTTTATGCGGGTATAATTTTATGTGGGATTGCATTTTTTATTTATTTTATGTGGGAGTGATTTTTTTAAACATTTGATGTGAGATTGTTTTTACGCGGTTCTGATTCTATGTGGGATAGATTTTATATGATTCTATTGGATTGAATTGGATGGTGGGATAGATAAAAATAATTTTGTTAATTTTCTGCAATTGATTTTATGCGGGATTAGTTTTATGCAGGCATAATTTTATGTGGGATCGAATTTTTTTTATTCATTTTCTGTGGGAATGATTTTGTGTATCATTGTCTTACTATGCTATGATGCTCTTGTGTTCTGTAAAAAATCCCGGGTCAAAATGACGATGTTGGCATCCCTACCGGTACAGTGTCTTTATACTTACGTTATCTAGAATATCATATTAATTGTATTTGTAATTCCAGACCGAATTCCGACATTGGAAATCTCCATTATAACGCCGCTTCGATGTGGGTGAAGACGATTTCAAGTTGGCTGGCCGTGGTTTTGTACGCGTGGACCTTGACGGCTCCCGTCGTTTTGAGAGACCGCGAATTTAATTAAACCATAAGAACTTATACTTATAAGGCATCTTGCTACTTGTAGATCAAAAAAGAAGAAATAAAAAGTATTCTTATGATGCCGTTGCGATATATATTCTGCCTTTGAATTTTAATATTTTTAAAAATTTTGTTTTTCGCTGGTTTAAATTTCTACATGGTCCTTCGAGCCAGATTTGAGCCATTGAAAAGTTAAATATCTACATGTACATAACCAGTTAAAAAATGGTGTTGCCATTGTTTTAATAATTGTATTTCATTTGTTTTTTAAACGTCTAGTACGTTCCTTAGAATGTTCGATGCGTTTCCTGCTGATTTAGGTTAGAGTAGAGTACTTCTATATATAAATATATCTTTTTTAATGTTGTCGTTTTGTATCGTGTGATATTTTCGTGCTTTCGGCCCACATTTGTGCGATAGTAAGTGATTGAGATGTTCTTAAATTTGTATTTAGGTTTCAATTTTTTTTTAATAGTAAAATTTATTTTTTTCTATGTTTGATGGATGAATTTTTTAATTTTGACAATCGACGTTTGACTTTTCTTGTCTTTCTGACGATCTGTCAGCTGTCACCGAAAATAATGTTTGTTTTCGCCAATAAAACGCTCCTGTTGCATTCTTTTGAATCATCTGTCAACAAAAACCATTCAGATTTCGTTTGACTTGTATTGTTTTAATTTTTAGATAAGTTTTAGTTCATATATTCCAATAAAATTATTATGTTTCATTTTTGACAAGTGACATTTGAAGTTAGCGTCATCTTTTAATCGATCTCTTAACTATAAACAAAAATATCGGTTTTGATCCAAATTTGATATTAGTTATATTATAAATGTATTGTTTATTTTCTCAATCACTATAATACAAATAGCAGTTTTGTACCATAGTGTATTTACATTTTACCTGTCAATTTCGTATAAAACCTTTCTAATGTTGCTGATTCAATAAAAATGTTACAAATTAAAAAAGTTTTTTATTCCAATCATAATTTACGTTAATTCTAACATATTAAATGACATTAACAAGTGACGTTGGTTTAAACTGTAGTGACAAATGTTTTAGACACGTCAAAGTTAAGTATTATGAAACTAATAGGCAAATAAATGGATGAATAAAACTGCATGTTCTTGGATTACATTTTCAATAATATGAAAATTTTTGTCAAAATTTGTGCTTAGATAACAAATCCAGATATGTGATTATTCCAAATACAAAAAATGTCATCTGGTTTCAAATATGCACAGAATCTTATAGGAAAGGTATTCGCATATATATTTTTGTCAACGTACAGAAATGTATAAAATATAGCAGACTGCATGTATATGATAAAATGGTCAAAAAGTGACGTTTCTCGCTCATATTGTCGTTCAAGAACGTCATAACTCAAAAATTGTCATTTTTAAGTTAGTACATGAAAGATCCTAAATAAATGTTATCTGGTAAAGTGTCACATCTGGACCTTCCGTAATTGCTGGTAGATGCCGCCCGTCTATTTCGGTACCAAAGGTTTGCATCTCATTTCAATGCTAATTGCAATATCGTCATATTTTAGTTGCTGAGTAACTGTTATGATGGAACCGTTTCTCAGATATCTAAAACATTTTGTATTATAGTAAAAGTAGGAAAATATAGAATATTTTTTAATAAATAACATACTATTTGAACTTGTTACGTTATATATGAAAAAGTAAGGGATGGTGTCGCTAACATCTAACATTGGAAGACGTTGCAGAAAAATATTGTATTGTCTAGTGTATTACATCGCATTGATACGATATTGGAAATAAAAGTATACTCTGTAACCTTTGTTTAATGAAGTATACATCATTATAACTTTGTAATAGAAAAACATAGATGTAAAATTATATAAATAATTTCGATTTGAAGTCAATCTAATACAAGAACATCAACTATACTTTATTTCCATTAATAGAAGTTACTCATCGATAATGTTTGACATCACAATTATTGTAACTTTATTATATTTTATTACTCTCCTGCAAAAACATTTTTGAGTTATGACGTTCTTTAAGCAAAAGAGCGATATGGTGTTACCATATCTAACCACATAAATATTCTGCCAGTTATCCACAAAAAAAATGTTAGTTTTTTTGTTAAAATCAGAGATTTAATGATATTCTATTGTGATTAATACATAGTGATAAGTCGCTTGGAAAAGTCCACAGACAAGTCCGTCGGACTAGTCTGAAAAGATGACTAGTTCAAACACACTTTTCAAAAGGGGAAAGGTGTATTGCGCATGTGTGAAATTAAATTACCTAATTTGTCTGAATTTCTTACAAATAAAGGCAAAATATTGTTTAAAAAATAAGACTAGTCCAAAAATTACTTTTCATGAAAAGTCCCATCTCTATTAATACATATCTAATTTTTAAAGTAAAAATATCGGTTGCAACAATATTCATGAACTCCAATGAAATGTAATCCATATACTCCACTGACATGATTTAGTCCTTTCACAACAATGAATTAGGCATTCCAACGACCTGTCAAACAATAGGTGCCAGTGGGAAATTCTTGTATATTTAAGGGGGTAGCGACATAGTCTTGCAATTTGGACGCTATTTTTATTCGAAGTAGTACTTGCCAAGCCTGACAATTTATGAAGAAATGTATAGGTGGGTTTTTTAAATATAATTTTTATTGTGTTTGACATAAATATTTAAATGTAATCCATTATTCATGATTTTACGTAAAGTAGATAGAATACACCATATGTCGCCACCCTTAGATATACCAAACCTGCCCACTGGTAATTCATTTGTTTGGAATGCCTAATTGATGAATTTTGACAAGTGACATTTGGACGGCGTTATGCAGAAAACTATCAACTCACAATATACCAGATATTAGGTTGAGTGCGGATTTGGGTAATAAATAAAATACACGGCCTGCATTCTGTAAGAACCTACCAAGTCTCAATTAATTATATATATACCCTATAAAATGCTAGCCCATATCCCATAGCTTTCTTAAACGAAAAAAACTTTAGAGCTGATTATCTCAGTTTGTTACTATTAAGAGTTGGTAGCTTTCTGCTTAACGCCGTCCATTTGAAGTAAGTGAAGTGTGTAATCTAAACGTGACAAATATTCTAGTTAATCCAATGTTGAGATTAAAGAAAAACAAGTTAAATTTTACACTTTTTATTAAAAAAACAACTATTGTCAACTTAAAAAATTCACTTCAGACATATTCCTAAATAAACAACACAATAAACAATCACATTGTCAAACAATAAATGTAACAGGTAACTTTTGTTATTGGCAGTCTATACATTTTTGCTTTTCATCTATACACTTTAATTTTTATGAACTTATATTTACATCAACAAATATAACAAAGTCTTCAGAATAATGTATTAACAATTTGTACATATAAGAACAATTCGTTGATGTTGGGCAACAACAAAAAATTGGAATTTAAACGGTTAAAGCGTAAACTTCGTGATAATAAAGGTCTGAACTATTTGACAGTTGTAGTATTGCGACGTCAAAACTCGTGGTCTGACATATCGATGTTCATCTGGCAAAGAGGCGTAAGCGCCATTTTAACCAATAATGACTTAGGTCCACTAAAGTACTTCTTTGGAGATCCCCTATGATCTGACAAACTGTCGTTATCTTAATTTCTATAAAACTTTAGTGTAGTAGTAACAGGTTATAGACGTGTGTTCTTATACGTGATGTTAATGTCCAATTTTGTGCCGTATTATGATTTTCAGTCCCGTCTGTAAAATGAAAGTGCTTTGTGGAGATATCCATGCTTTCTATGCGCACTGTTATCATCCTCTTTAACGTTATAAATGTCTCTCCTTACGTTATCGGGGAGACAATTTTGGTAGAATTTCTCAGATAATTGTATGACATGTTGCTTGATAGTGAGCATGGATGTCTCTACGTGCATGTGTCACTCTGGCATAACGGTCGTATCCCAGGATGAGCCTCAGACACCTGTTTTGTATGACTTGCAATTTATGATAATGAGATTTAGCCATTGAGCAGTAGGCTGGACATCCGTACGTCAGAACAGGTCTGATAATTTGTTTGTATATTAAAGCTTTGTTTTCTCTATTTACCCTACTATTCCAGCATATCATTGGATATAACGTGCGGATGGCCGCGTTAGCTTTAGCAACTCTATCTTTGATGTGTTTAGCAAACGTTAGTCCCCTATCTAGATGCACTCAGATATATTTGACCGATTTTTTAGCTTCAATCATTTAATCTTTAATTTTTAGTTTGTTTGTAATATTTTCGGTTTTTCGTTTAGTTAAGACTACAGATTCCGTTTTTGTGGGATTTAACTTCATTTTATTTGCATCTAAATAAGGTACTAGCGTTCTACTTATATGGATGTTCAACCTTCTGTTGGCTATTTCTGCTGATGTTGATGTCTTATATAATACACAGGTATCATCGGCGTACAACGCCGTTTGTACACCATTACTTCCCAAGGGTATGTCATGGGTCATAATGGTGTACAAATGCGACCACAGTACTGACCCCTGAGGTACTACCGCTATGGCATTGTATGGTCCTGTGGATGAATTGTTAATTTTAATTTTGAAAGTTCTGTCACAGTTTATTGCTAAAGAATCAGTTAGCTCACTTGGACCAGTTGAATGTTCCAAATAACATCCACTCCAGGGATACAAATTCAGGATGCGCTGAAGACTGCTGAATATAGTAGGCGGTTGTCATATATTGTATTGGTTATGATTTGATTCTGTATACGCCAGGGATACAAATCCGAGTTGCGCAGTGTATAAACTGGAACATTGAGATCAAAAGTGCCGACGCAGAGTGAGCGAACTAATTCTTTAGCTATAAACTGTGGTTCTGTCTTGTAGGTATGATTGAACAGTTTTTACAATGTACAATGGATAATCATTTATAAACATTTTGTATACAAGCCCACAGGTCCAAACTGTGTCGAAAGCCTTTTCGGTGTCTAATGCCACCAGTACTGTCTGTTTGCCATCATTCATGGCTTCTTTTGCCTGATGGGCTATTCTGATTACTTGAGCGACAGTACTGTGGCCCTCCCTGAACCCGTAATGTTCCTGTGGGATTATATTCTTGTCTTGTTCAATTTTACGTAATCTTGTTAGTATGATTATGTCTATTGTCTTAGTTATTGTGCTTAATAACGAGATGAGGCGATAGCTCTCTATATACTTTTAATTTTTTCCCGGTTTTTTAATTGGAATGATGTTAGCCATTTTGAGAATTTTCGGGTAGTGTTGTCTTAATAATTGGATTTATGATATACTGAAATTGCACAAGCATTTTTCTTGTAATGTTTTTTTAGTAACAAAGCGTTTATTTTTTTTGTTGTTAAATTTGAATTATGTAAACCGTGCAAGTTTCCGTCCGACTGAAAGACATTTGTAAGACATCTTAAAAGACGTCTTTACTTACATATTTATTAATTAATTATTTACAGTTATTTACATATTTAACTACAGACAATATTAATTATTTGCAGAATTACTTTTTGAGATCTTCAGGAAGTTCCATACTTTCTGGTCCCTTGACAAGAAGAGCCACGGCCGATGTCATAGCCTTAATATAACCCGTATTAATTTATATTATGAGTCCCGGGCTGTCTCCAATTTTGGTGAGCTTTACTGGATCTGTAGTGGATTCTGTTTATAGTTTTGTTTGAATTTACTTGTGATTGTCTTCCCTCAAAAACTAATTTCAAAAACAGGGTTGTCCTTGTAAAAGACGTCTTTGGACTTTCACATTAATATGTGAATTTGGCAAGACGTCTTAAGAACATCTTTGTGTTCTCACATTAATACGTTTTACAGATGTCGTGTGCTATCTGAGTAATGTACT